TTTGTTTTCCTCTATTTTATTGCTATGCATAAAAACACAAGATGGAAGAAACATGACAGGTTCCTCTTAGATAGGCTGCCCTGACTGAAGTTGCAGGAAATGGGAAGACAAGACACTGAAATTAATCCAGTTTTGAAAGTGCTCCCTCTCCAAACAAGGGCAACCCAGTTTGTATTGGTGAGACTCAATATGCCACCTATTATCAATCATGATTGTGATGAACACATTACAGACTAATGTCCCAATACCAATGCTAGCAGCTCACGGGGAGCCTAGCTTGTCCCAGGTCCAGCTACAGGAGCATGTCACTGCAGCACTGCTGCCTGCATGGGAGCTGAGGCTGGTGCCAGAACACCATTTCACCCCTGAAAAGATGACCAGGCCACCAGGGAGGGGTAAGATCTCATGCTCACCTTCCTGAGGACATCAGATGAGACATCAAAACATCTCCAAAGGAGGACAGTGGCCCCTGGCTGAGATTGGGCTATTGGCACCACTCACTGTGGCTGCAGACCTCATGCTATCACTAGACTTGACCCAGATCCTCCCTCCATCCTCATCGATGAGGTGCAGAAGCAGGAAAAGCTGACGATGCTGCAAGAGCAATGGGAGACTGAGGTCTCCCAAGAAGCATCAAGAGAAGGGCAAAAGAGAGTGCATGGGAAGTGTCTGGGGAGGTGCGAAGGAGGGACACAAAAGTAAAAAGCAGCCTCAGGAGAGATGGGAGAAGGGTCTTGCCCCTACACAGCAGAGCAGGGGAGGCAATTCCCTCCTCGTGATGTTCAAGGCTCCTGATCCTGCCACACTCTCTACCGCATATCTCCTGATCTGTCAGCAAAATACCCCTGCTTGGCTGAGGCCTGTCCCTGTGCACAGAGGAGCTTCCCAGTTCAGTGAAGCCTGATGTGTGCACACATGTGTCCTGATCCTGCCAGGCTGAAAACACCAATGTCTGACGAACATTTGTCCTTTGCAGACCTACAAGGATTCAAAAGGAGAATTGCAAGTTCAGTCAGAGCTCAGGTCATCCCACACTGCTGGATTCAGCCTCCACAATCACCTGAGCAAAAATATATCTGCTGCAAGATGGATTTTCACATGAATGCCCTCCTGTGGTCAACCTGAACTGAGCAGAGTGGGGGAAACTCACAGGGGTTGTCAAATGCGCTAGGAAACCTTGGTTCATTGCTTGTGTTCCTCCCCACTCAGGGATTTCCATTTTCTTGGAGACTGGGGGATCCAGTTCTTGCTGAAACTGTGTGTCAGCACCTTTATCTTCTCAAGAAATGCCTACTCTGGAAAGGTTCACCCTGATGGGGTTTTGAGGAAAACTCAGAGAACACAATGAAGCTTTTTTTGCAGAAAATAAGAGAAGCTTTTTGCAAGGGACTGACTGCAAGGCTCAGGGGAGTATCTGACTGGTTCCTTCCAGCTCTTGGTGTTGTGGGGAGCACACAGATAAGAATGGACAAGTGCTCTCTGCACAGCCCATGGCAAATACTCTTCTGTCCTAGTGTGTACAGGGAAACCTGTTCCAGGGCATGGGTTCTTTCACCACCTTCTTCTTCCTCTCAAGCCATTGACACTGTCCTCTCCTGGAAGAGGATCTCGGCCTGCAGATCCCTGGGTGCACAGGGGAAGCAGCGCTGCCAGGGGACACCTCAGGGCCCCTTCCCCCAAGCTCAGTCCAGCACAGACACATCCCCTCCCTCCCGTGGGTTGTTGCACAGCCAAGGAAGCTCCCTGCACCAGGGTGTCTTGCACAGCACAGAGGTACAAGGCACTGTCAGAGACCTCGACTTCCTCCAGCCGCAGGAGGCTGTATTTCCCCGTGGTGGTCAGCAGCGTAGTGAGACAGCCGCCATGCTTGGGGCCAGCTGATGTTTGATACAAGACCAGCTGTGGGGCGTGGCCTTTCATTCTACTGGTATCAGAACAAGTCATAAAACTTAGCGGTCTGGTAGGCACAGGTGGACTGGAAGGTGTCTCTCTCCTCTAGTGTGACTTGTCCTGCTTGCTGGGTGACGGTGGCCTG